TGGTTGCTTTTGTTGTTTTAGAAACGATTTAATTATTTTGATGCAAAATGGTTGCAGTTGAATTAACCACAAATTTGGATCATCTACCACCGAATGTTAATTTTTATTTGTGCTTATCATTAAACAGCAGTTCACTGTGGCGAAAAGTGGTCGATACCGATGAGAATAGCAACTTTTATTTCAGGTTCAAATTTTTTTATTAATTTTCCTTCCATTTCTAGTCTTACTTTAATGGTTGATATGTTTGTTGTAGATTTCGGTATAAACAAATAAAATTTTATTGTTTAATTTTATTGTGTTTATATCATGAAAATTCAAACAGCAACCAGGTTTAGTGTTTTTTCTTCCTCTTGTTGTGAGCTGAAGGTAGACGCTGAAATGGAGTGGAAACTTTTAGAAAGAATTTTGAAGCTTTTTGAGCTTCTTGCCATTATCGGTTTTGGACAGGAAAACCTTTAGCGATATTTCGCTAATGAAAGACTTTCCATTTATTTATTTTTGAAAAGTTATAGAACTTTTAGCAGCTTTTGTAGAGCAAGAAAATTAAAAATACTTAAATTATCAATAAAAGTTTAGGATCATATGTTTGTCGTGTTTTAGACTTTTAGGTTTATTTAAGGGCTGAAACGCTTTTTTTTAATGGTTGTTTTGTAGCTTTTAAATAAGGTTTTTCACAGGTTTTGATAAAGACTACGCTTAGTATAGTTTTGATTGGGTAAATGTTGTGTGGTATTTTGAGTCTCATATGTATTGTAGCATAGTTTGTTTAACAGAATGTAAGTTTTTGTTACCATAAAAAAACATTTTCTAGTGTTGTATAAAAACATTAATATTTGAACGCTTCATTGTAAATTAGGTATTTTTTAAATCAAAACCATTAACGACGTAATTTAGACCTAACGACTTTTCGCTTTTTAGGAGTATTTAGTTAGATGAAAAAGAATTAGCTTTTTATGAAGTTTAATTTCTGTCATAAGTTGGGAAGTTAAATTAGTAGATTGATTTTCTGCTCACATATTCAAATCAAAATATGTTCGTATTTAATCTATTCTCATCCAAAAAGTTGTTTGCGTGTTCCTGTCTTAGACTTTCGATAACAACGTTGCGTCATATTTTTGTCATGTTTTCAAGATTTAGTGAATATTCTTTATCTTTACCAATAAAATTTGGTTAAATTAGACTGGGAGAATTTTACGTTATATTTTACAGCGCAGAGGATGTTGAGAAGGCATGTTTCGAGTCGTGCAGTAATGACTGCGGACCAGCCTCTGTCTTGCTTCGAGTATGGGGTGGTAGGGGAGTAACTGTGCTTCAGCTGTTGAAGAGGCTTCAGAAGCTTTCTAAAGTGTATGGAAGATGTATGGATGGTCCTCAGTTCTCTCTACGCAGGAAATTTGGTATAAACAATTTTTTTTTTGTGGGAGGATTGACTAGTATGCATGAGTCGTTTCATCATTAGACAAATTTCCCCGTTAAGTAACGGCTCAAAAACATCTTAATTTTTTTCATTTGTTTATTGGAATTAGTAACTGAGGAAGTGAAAAATTTTATTTATATTTCTGTCCTTGATATTCGAAATAGCATTAATGATCTTTTTTCTTTTTATCTGGTTGCAACTTCTGTAGACTTTGTGAGGGTCGTGTTGGCATTATCTGTTTGAATCTTATTATTTTATATTAAGATAAATTTGTGCTATTTTCAGCTACTCACATTTCTTCCATTTAAATTTAGTTTATAGTACCTGTAATTTGGTCTCGACCGCAGCAAATCGTTGTTAGGATTTCAAATGTCATTTCTAGTACCTATGAGCTGAAATGTCATGCAAAAGGGTTTCCGTTTCCACGTTTTCAGTGGATGAAAAATGGCACTGATCTCGAAGGCGAGACCAGCGACAGACTTCTTATTCCGATGTATGTGCTTATTTCTTAGGATTTCTAGTTTAGGCCATTTTTATCCTTAAGTGTTGATGACACCAAAGCAAATTTTTAGTTGTATACATTCTCTCATGATTAATGCAGTTTCAGGAACAATATTTCCTATAACTCGAACACCTATCGGTGTCGTGTTTGGAATGAAATAGAAGAAGGAATGGAGTATTCGTCATTTTACCGTTCTAATGGGAAGCAGTACCGCTCAGAACTTTTATCTGAAGCGATTAACTTAAGCGCTTATACCTCAGAGCTTGGTACTTTATTCAGAGTTCATTTTTCACTCTGAACTTTTTTCCGTTAAAAGTTAAAAAATATTTACTGAAATCAGAAGAGCAAATAGAGTCATTTGGTTGAGGTTTTCTTAGACGTTTTTTGACCATTTTAAGCTTCACTACATTTTTTTAGAGGAAGCAAAGTTGAAAAGACTAGTAGCAACAGACAAAGTAGCTCTGATCATCGGTAACCGTCGTTATAAGCATCATGTAGAGTTATCAACGCCCGAATGCGACATTGAAGCTTTAACACATGCTTTACAAGGCTTACACTTGGAATGTGGGTCGAATAATAGAGAACAATTTGGGTAAGAGTTTCTCACCAGCTAAAATTTATTCTTGGGTTTTTCCAACACGTTCTTCACATTTCAGGTTTAAAACGGTTCAGTTGAGTGATCTTACTTTGGAGGAAATGAAGTTTTTCATTTTACAGTATAAGAAGTTGCTAGATGACGGTGTATATGGTAAGAAAAATACTTGAAGTCTTTTACATCTTTTCGTATTTTTCCCTGAGTCTGGTAGTCTTTTATATGTTACACCTTCATTTTTTAATGTTATGTTATCAAAATTTCAATACGTTTTGCATTAGCTAGTATCATTTTTTTGTTTTTTAGCCGTATTTTATTTTGCCGGGCACGGTTTTGAAGTGGCTGGACAATGTTATTTGCTACCAATAGATGCTCCTGCCGACTTTCGACCTGAACATTGTATTTCTGTCAGCTGGGTTCAGTCTATCTTTCAGCACTGCACACCATCGCTTAACTTGGTGTTGCTAGATATATGTCGCATGCCACCGTGAGTTTTCATTTTTGTTTTACTATTTCACATTTTGAAATACTTTGGAGTAAGACTCGCAAAGTATTTGGTGTCAAAAAGCTAAGAGCCTTTAATTTATTCATTGCTAGCTTTGTAAAAGCCGTTTTCTTTAATTAGCTTATATCGTTGTCTTTAAAGTGAGTCTATTCATCTGTATTCTTTTTTAGTGCAAATACAATGCTCTTCGCAGAAGACGTTGCTCGATGTGTTGAGCCTCCTGTAGTCTGCCAGAATACTGTTTACGGTTTTGCAACGTAACTTCTCTATTGCATCGTTTTTTTATCAAGTTTTTTGCTTATTTTTTGAGTTGTACAATGGATTGAAGGTTTTTATAATTGATAATTCAAACCGTTAACTGAACCTAGAACTGGAATGCACATTCTATTGCAGTTATGTTGCAGAAGTGTTGGTGTATGTGCTTTCGAAGCGCAGACTGATCACACAAGCATTTTTATGAAGTATTTACTTCCTCACCTTCATGACCCTGTAACTGTGACGAATATGCTTCACAAGACTTTTGCAGGTTATTAGACATTTTTATTTTTGCGTAATTTATTTCTTTAAGGTTAATACAAAATTCTTCGTCGTAAAAAAACAGTGCACAACAGTTGCTTTTGTAGATATTGCATGCGACAAAAAGGTTAGTGGTATACAAGTGCCAGAACTGAGAACTAATCTAACCTCTCCTCGCTCACTGATGGACCCTATAGATATAGAAGGACATACTAGTTCCTACGAATCCCATACCCTTCATTGGAGACATTTGAACGGTAGGCATTTGAGTATGAAAAAAACTTGGTTTCCAAGATAGTAGCTGTTTTTACTGTAGTGATTTTCTAGTCATGTGCACATCTCTTGCTACAAATGAAATGAACGAGGGCTTCTAAAAAAATCTTTAGTTGATTATTTGTTAGTTTTGCAGAGTTACCAGAACCTGTGCATGTTTATTTCAAGGAGAAAGATCTATACGTCGCTGTTTTTTTTAATCTTTTGGGTCATTTCAACAATAAAATGCGCGTTGGCAGCTATGTTGTAGAAGTAGTCAAAAACTCGGCTGGTTATGACGAGTTTCAGTGTACCAAGTGGGCAAATTCTCATCGTGCGCATCTTATTTTTCCAGAAGTAGGGACTAAACATTCTGTTTGTAATCAACAGGCATAAAGATTGCGATTTACATGTGTAATTTTAGGAACTAGGAATTACCCACGAAGAAATTGTTTATGATACAGGTGAGGGACCCACCCTTTTTTGTATTGTCTCGAACCTGCAGCGGGCAAAGGTTAAAATTCATATTATAAGTACTATTCAATTAAATGGTAAAGTTCTTATTCTTTATCGCTTAGAAATCACTAGAAGGAAGTGCGTCTAGTAATTAAGACCCTACCCTTTGTTTCTGGCAAGCTTCGTTCAGTTAAAATTTATTTTGTTATTCTTGATGTGCGAGACGTTTTGCTTCAGGGTGGAATAAAGTGTAAAGTTTTGCTTTATCACGCTAACTGTAAAGCAAGCAGAACGTTATTCACAGAAGATGCTGATGTTCTCGTGGAAGAAGCAAACATTGGTCACGCATTGGTTACGCGCATTTTACCAGATTAGTAAGCTTTTATACATGTATTGTTTTGTACTTATTATTTCGTCATAGTGGAGTTCATACTATTTTTGACATACTCTAGTGTACAAAAGCCTAACATTAATTTAAGTTAGAAAGTTATAAGGCATTATCGTTAGGGATCTAAGCACAGGACATGAGATTTGGTTTTGGAGTCGTCATATAACTTCTTTCTTCTGAACATTTGGAGATTGTTACAGAATAGACCCTTGAAGTTCTCATTTTTGCGAATTAGCTTATCACTACTACGCAGTTTAAAATTGTCTGTGAGAAGGATAATCTGTTGGAAGAAGGCTTACTGGGAAGGGTAAGAACGAATATTAGGAAATAAGTCGCAGAACGCTATAACCTTATTATTTAATCTTCACCTCCACGAGTTTGTAACCGTACGTTTCTGTGTAATTATATGTTAGTACTACTTCTTATTTCTTTAACAATATTAGCACTAATCTCCGGACAAGTTCGACTTCGTAGTTTTTTTTTTTTTAAAAATAAGGAATTGAACTGCTGAAATGAACTTTTTTTGTCTCAGCTTGGGGATGTTGTACAAACCAATTTTCATCTCGATATTGAATCAAGAGTTTTTTTTTGACAGCTCTTGAAGTTTATAATAAAAGATTCATTTGGAAAACCGAAGTGAGGTTTGAAGAGATTTGCATCTATTCAAGAATACACTCTAGTGCAGTTTATTTACTGTTTACAAGTGTACCATTTCTGGCAAATCATGGCCTTTTTCTGCTGAAAATTATACTACATTGTTTAAATTTGTTTTTTACTGGTCTTACAGTATCTGTAAACCTTATTTTGGTGTAGTTAATGTTGATAAATTACTAGTCTAAAATTGAGATTTGCTTTTAAGTCATCAAAAGGTAAATAAGAAAGTGTCTTCAAAATTTAGTAATTGCTTTCTTTCAGTTTTGTTTGCTTTGTTGTATAATTCCAGATATTGAGAGAAGCTTAAAAGGCGTTAAATTTGTGGTGAACAAATACAACAACTACCTTGGTCCGGTACAGGATAGTAGGAAAAAATCTATCTTTGCTGTGCAATTTCTTTTGTTAAATGGTGACTGTTACTACATTTCTTCATAATAACTTTAAATTTTTAATTGTTGAAGTGGGAGGTCACAATATGAAACTGAGCAAAATTAAGTGAAGCTGTTTCGCCTTCACACCAGTCACGAAAGATACAGGTTTCAGAAATATTTCTAAGATTTATTTCTGGAGCAAACACCTCTAATTTTACTACTTGCGAAGGAAAAGTAGTTCGCGGAGATTTTCCATAGATGGCTTGACCAGCAAAAAAAAAAATTAGTTAGAAGTGGCTAATTTCTAACATATTTTTCGTCAGTTACTCGCACATTTCTTACTCATTCTGCAAAATTCGCTATGTATTGTAATTTATGGTATGAAATTCTTATTGCACACACTTTTCTTTAAATTTAAGTTGGGTAAAAGTCTACATTCTACTTTCAGTAATAGGGTTTTACAAATTTATGCTGGTATTTTAAACAGTGGTCACTGTTAGTCAACGCAAATTGCGGAGCTAAACATCAAGTGGTTTTTGATCCGGTAAATTGTCTTTAATTTTATCACTTCCATCGTACGATTTGCTGTAAATTAAAAATTTATAAGTTATTACAAATAAGACGTTTTATCAGTCTTGATTTTTTTCCGGTTTATTGTCAGATTTTCCGAACAAATAATTTTTTGGTTAAAGACGGTTTACCAATAATTTACTTCCAATAATTTACTTCGGGTTTATTAATTGTTTTGTTCAGTACTCCTCTTTGGAAATGTGTAGTTTTGAAAGTCAAAGGAAATATCTTAAGCGGCAGTCTTTTGCTTAAGTAGCAGTTGCAGTAATTTTTTATTACTGTTTAACTTTGTTTTCTGTTACAGATGACATTACGACATTTGCAATTCTTCGAGAGCGCGGATTGCCGGAGCACTCTTCTCTCAAGTGTTTTCTCCAACCAATGTCATTATTAGGCAATACCTCTTTGTGACATAAGAAACATCGTTCTGCGTTTTTATGGCCACTTGACCCTGAAACAGCTGGTTTACTAAGCTGGTTCCGCAGAGTCGTGGAACGCTATGTCGATTGGATATGTAAAGTTTTACTTATTTAAGTTTGTCAATATTGTTTCAAAATTTAGGTTTTTTAGGAAACTTCTTCAGTTGTATTATATAAGTTATGTCTTCTTGTATAGTTTGTTAAATTTTCTTTTTGCAGTCCTTTTTCAACAGCACCCTGAGAGTAGGTTCTATTGCTTGTTGCAGGTCTTCTCCTCGATTAACGAAATTATCTTTCCATATTTCTGTGAAAAAATTTTGAAAAAAAACTTGTGGGAGAAATACAAAAAAATTATTTTATTTTTTTATGCAGAAGTTTTATAATCTTTTTGTACTCTGTGGTCAAGGATGCTTTATTCCTAAAATTTTTTAAAGATTTTTCTGTATATCTTAGGATATAAATAGATTTGTTGTGGTATGAAAACTGTAAAACAGTTGGGAGATTTTTTCTGTTTAAACGCTTCCAGGATTTGATATTTAAAATCTTTCTTAACGGTACTTTAATAAAGTTTTCCCAATAGTTATTTGTTATTATTTCTCTCTTATCATTTGTGAAACTATACCTTTACACTGATTAAGGCTAATATGTCGAAAGTGTTTCTCCTTAGGAATTGGATTCTTGCATCGGTAACATTTCTTAAACTGGTCTTTGGCAGGACACTCTTCTAGGTAATGATGGTTCAGTGCACTTATTTCTAATATCTAAAAATTATATGTAGCTCTTGATTGTATGTTACTGCTCACTCCATTGATAATTATAGTTTATTTGTGTAGTGAGGAATTTCCAAAGATTCATATAAATTATCTTT